GTAAAGGTTCCCCTTGACAATTTGTCCAGTCGTGTCTGACTCTGGGGGGCGGTGCTCATTTCCGTTTCCAACCCATAGAGCTAGCGTTTGTCCGAAGACAATCTTCTATGGTCACATGGCCAGCACGACTAGACATGGAACGCTGTGATCTTCCCACCGTGGTGGTCCCTATTTATCTACTTGCATTTTGCATGCTTTCGAACCGCTAGGTTGGCGGGAGCTGGGACAAACGAAGGGGACATCAACAGAGAACTACAATTCCGAAATAAACCCATTTAGTCCTACAAAAGTCCGAATAGTCAAAGCTATGGTTTTTCCTGTTGTGATGTATGGAAGTGAGAGCTGGACCATAAAGAAAGCAGACCGCCAAAGAATTGATGCCTCTGAATTGTGGTGCTGGAGGAGGCTCTTGAGAATCCTCTGGACTGCAAGGAGAACAAACCTATCAGTTCTAAAGGAAATCAACCCTGAGTGCTCACTGGAAGGACAGATCCTGAAGCTGAGGCTCCAGTACTTTGGCCATCTAATGAGAAGAAAAGACTCCCTGGAAAAGACCCTGATGTTGGGAAAGTGTGATGGCAAGAGGAGAAGGGGACGACCGAGGATGAGATGGCTGGACAGTGTCTGCGAAGCAACCAACATGAACCTGACACAACTCCGGGAGGCAGTAGAAGATAGGAGGGCCTGGCGTGCTCTGGTCCATGGGGTCACGAAGAGTCGGACACGACTAAACGACTAAACACACACACACAAAGCACGGACCAAATTGTTGTCCAGCGAAATTCCTCCATAGAAATCATTGTTTCGCGAAGCAAAATGGCAGTTGCAAACCTCATCGTCATGCGGATTCGTCATTTTGAGGGGTAATCGTCTTGCGAGGTACCACTGTACTTTCAGCATTAAAGCTAGAAAACTTATTTTTGTACCGGGTGTGGCTTACGATAGGTTCCACATGTGTGCAAAATGATTGCTGAAACTGCCCAATTCTGGTGTAAAAACACACCAAGAGTTGATAACTGTGTTTTCCTTCCCCCTTTGTAATGAACTTGCAATTTTTTTAGACATGGAGTTAAGCAGCACATGAAACTTCTTTGGGGCATCCTTTGTTCCAGTTATTTCTTAAGACTCTTGTTGATGCCCGGAGGGATGACTACACAAGATGAATGTAGCTCTTTGTTCTAGGGCAAGGATACTGCGGGAGTTTTTTCTTTGTCTCTGCAAGGAAGAACTACAGTTTCTCTAGAATCTGATGCCTCTCAATAATAA